GATGGTGTTCTGCGGCTCTCCACGAGGTTCTCAGTATGCGATGGTGTTCTGCGGCTCTCCACGAGGTTCTCAGTATCCGATGGTGTTCTGCTGCTCTTGCTCAGGTTGTCAGTGACTAACTCCTCTGAAGTGGACAGCCTATTCCATCTGTTCTTATTCTGGAAGTGCTGAGGAGACCTGTTCACTATGGCAGATGCTCCTGGTATTTGAAATGCCTGTGACATAGCTTTCAAAATCACAGCAACACACAAGCCAACAAAGTAAGGCAAACTGTCAGAGAAGTGGTGGTTAAATAAGGAGAGAGACCCTTATTTTTTCCACAGAGCAGATGGTGGTTTTGAACTGCTGAGCATGGGGTTAACGGCTTAATGCCATGGAGAAAAAAGATGCATTCAGCAAACAAAACACAGCACAATATTAGCTAAATAAAATGATGAATGAATCCAATCAGATTGAGAAGGAAAGTCCAAGGAAAACATACTCCGAAGAAGATATTTGAGGTGGGTTAGTCCCGGTGGACTAGAGTAACAAATCCAGAGAAACTCGTATGTGTTTAAGAGAGAGTTTTATATAAAGGGTAATTGTATATGAAGAAGTATCCCAACCCAGTACAGATCAAGTCCATAAGTCTGATTTTAGCCCATATGTCCAATACCAAGCAATAAAGTTGTCTTCTGACACACAAAACACATGCTATGATGCTGAATGCAGGAAGATCACAGGCCAGTGGATGGGAAGTCTTTTGGATTCAGTGCATTGTAAGTATCTCAGCACTGGCAGGATCTCCATGTGGCTTCTCCAGCACCCAGGGCTGCATCAGGGTAGGTCCATGTGGCTTCTCCTTGGGGATGTCTAGCAGGAAATCAGCCTCATCAGTAGTGAGTCTCCAAGGGAGTGAGCCGAGAGACAGTGCCTTCTGCCTCCAAGGAGGAAAATACCGGATTTTACAGAATCCTCAGGAGAAGGCCATGCCCTCACAGAAGCCTCATTTGAGGCTCTAACCTGTTTGACAGACTAGATTCTACCCCTTCACTCTTAATCCTCCCAAGGCCCAAATTGACACCAGATTATGTAACAACCACATGAGTTGTGATGGGTTTTTCGTTTAAGTAGCAACAAAATGGCCTCTCTCCTCTTTCTATCCTGCAGGCCCCCAGCTCAAGACAGCTCTTGGCCTCCTCGCTGTGATTCTTACCCTCCGTCTCCTGGCTAAGTAGTCAAAGGGAGACAGTAATACAAGTTTGGAAAGAAAGAAGTGACTGTTATGGTAGCTTTTCATCTTTGTTTTGCTGTTCCTTCCTCAGGTGTAGTAAGTTGGCAGTGGCACACAGCTCCCTCTCCCTAGCATTCTAGGAAGCAGGTTTGCTGAGAACAAGATGATTTACTGACAGGTCATCTCCTGCCCCGAGACTTGCAACCACAGCACAAAAAACCTCGCTTCCCCTCATTTGCTTTTAAGCTCATAT